GTGAATCAGGCTAACGACAATGCGGCTCGGAGCCGCCGACCAATCAGGTGTCGCGCTCAGACGGGAATTTGCAAGAGTATCGCATTACTTCAGACTCCGGCGCATAATGTTTGTAGATGGCGCACCGATCGGACGTGGGGTATCCAGTACGTCAGCAACGCTGCCATGAGGCCCCCGGCGTTGCGCGCCGCGAAGGTCTGCGGGCTCGCGAGGATTCCATGGGCCACGGAATCCTCCATGCGGACCATGCGGGGTCTTTTGTTGTTGTGGTGTTGGCGTGAAAGACGGTTGCTTCGATGACAAACGTCTCCTATCAGCATCCTGAGCTTAAACGAATTGAAACCGCTGAACAAGTGAGTGGTGGTGGGATTTACCCACTATGTTATTTTTTCATGTAAACACCCATATGGCATTGTCGATTCTCCGAAAGCTTTCGGTCGCAGTCCCCCACCTACCTCACGAGACATAGATCCCGCACCCCTGGCTAGCGGTGAAGTCTATTGATGGATCGCAGTTCATTGGGACCAGGTCCAAATCATCGCCGTGGCACCGTCCGTGCCACAGCGGTGTGATTCACTGCCTTTCACATCCCTGGCAATGTTCCAATGCAACCAGACCTACGGGGCAATAATCATCACTACCAGCAACATAACAAAACCGAGTAAACAATGTACCGTCACTCAGTGTACACCGCTGAGCGTGCGGGCGGACAGCAAGGTACGCTTGCCCCCGATAAAGCTCATGCAGCTCTGAGTCTGGGTGTCCTGTTTACCAGCGCACTACCTTCTCTTTGTTCCCCGGAGACGTGGTGTGGAGATGCAGGGGTGAGAAAAAGCCTCTGATTTACCGGAATTGATCGCTGACAAAAACGAACGCTTACAAGCCAGTTATGGAATAAAATGCGAATATGGAAACAAATGATAACGGACCAGACCATATTACAGCAGACCGTCCCAGTCAGACGAAATTCAAAGCTCAGGATTGGTCTGTACTCGCAAACACTTGCGGCGTGAGCTTGTGTAGAGCACATATCGAAACGTTGACGGTTCACCGTATGAGCAAGTTGAGCCACTGGATGCTGTCAAACATAGTAGCTTTAATCTGGATAGCATTAAGCAGGCGACAGAAAGGTCCTACAAACTATCCTATATCAGCGCTGACGTCACAGATCAACGGTGACAGTGCTTTTCCAAATGGCTCTTAGATCAGTGCTTGTCACCTTTTTCGGTCAAGATTCACTTAACATAACATACTTAACAGTATAAAACACCAAATGACTAGGCTTACTGTTTGCCGGAAGAATCGTGGCTGACTACAGCATTTTGCGACGAACGTGGTCAGTTTGCTGCGCAGCGTTTTAAAGCGTCCTACCATCTTGGAAAGATGAGCTCAAATGCTCGCTATGCGGTTCTAAATCGGGCTCAGGGCAAGGCTGTGGGCTGCCGTTGGTTGTAATCATGCCATGAGAAGCTGACTGGCTGGAAAAACGTAGCCAATCTTCAGTTTTAAGGCACTGTGGGGTTTTTCTATGGATCCACCATGGGGGACGTCCCTGATAATAGCGTTGAAAAACCTGCCGATCTAGGAGGCTTGTTGTGGATACCAGAACTGTAGCTTCAGAGATCAACAGAGGACATTGGAGCGGCACATATCCCGCAAGGATTCGTCCGGTTCTTCCTGCTGCTGAGAAGGACGGCGGCTTCTTGAGGTAAGATGCCGAGCATTGCTGTGGTAGGCTTCATACCCTGCCCGTCAAGCCTTAGCATTCTGACCGGTTGACAGGCGTAAGATAAAATGCTTTCAACATGTTGGGAGGTACGGGGCCTGCGCCGGCAATACCAGTGAATACGACGATAGGAAATGTCGCCAAGGCTATCAGCTGAGTGCACGAGGAAGTCAGAAAACCAAAAGAAGTATGGTTTTGAGGTCCTAGTAGAACGATATTATCGATAAATGAATGGCTACAGGAATGCGGGTTTGCAAAATATGTAGGGGTGAGGGATGGGGGGGGGGGGGGGCAGAATAAAAAATCTGAGCCTGCCCCGAAATGCACTAAAACGGCCTTCTCCCCGATTTGACGAGCTTTCTTTCCAGAATTGGGAGCAGGATCGTAGTTTCTCTTAATTATTTTGGTAGGGGCCCAACCATGAAAATGATGACGACTGAAAGAAATGATTATAAAATGAGCACTAACAACAAGAAACTTCGTCATTGGTTAGGAGGCGCAGTCCCCCCCCCCCCATCTCAACAGGAGACTACACATCTCTAGACCGGTTGTTTAAAGTATGCATTTATCTGATGATCTTATAACTCAAGTCTTAACCATCACTAAGTGTTTGATAGCCAGCAACTAATACTTTAGTGCAAACAGTAAAGCGAAATGAAATTGTTTGGTGGGTATGCCGCGTTTTATTCATTTGTCTTTGCTTTCGTGGTTTATCGCACATAGAGCTACATTGCAAAGGTTTGTAATAGATATGTCTCCAGTCGAAAATTTAGAAGGTTTCAAATTTCGTCCGTGACAGGGAAGCCACTTTTCACCCCTGTGAGTCTGCATCGGTATGCTCTGCGTCCGCGATCGCAGCAGACATGCCAGTCCTCCCTGTCCCCCCCCCCCCCCTGCTAAGGTGCGACTGCAGATATCACCGCCGATCCAATACTGTATCTGCATCTGTATCTGTATCTGCATCTGCAGTTGTAGTAGCATCTGTATCCGTATCTCTATTTATGCACTGTATCCTTACCAACATTTGTCTGCTGTGCCTCTATCTGTATTTCTATACTGCATATGTATTTGTGTTTATACTGCATATGTATTTGTGTTTGTATGCTGTATTCGTATTTTTAGTATTTTTCAGTATTGAAGACCGAAAAATTCTTCACCATCACACCTCGAATTCGAAAAAATACACCCAAGGTTGGAACACACAAGGGTTTCGGGATTAGCTTACTGGAAGAGGACGGAGAGAGAGAGAGAGAGAGAGAGAGAGAGAGAGAGAGAGAGAGAGAGAGAGAGAGAGAGAGAGAGAGAGAGAGAGAGAGAGAGAGAGAGAGAGAGAGAGAGAGAGAGAGAGAGAGAGAGAGAGAGAGAGAGAGAGAGAGAGAGAGAGAGAGAGAGAGAGAGAGAGAGAGAGAGAGAGAGAGAGAGAGAGAGAGAGAGAGAGAGAGAGAGAGAGAGAGAGAGAGAGAGAGAGAGAGAGAGAGAGAGAGAGAGAGAGAGAGAGAGAGAGAGGAGAGAGAGAGAGAGAGAGAGAGAGAGAGAGAGAGAGAGAGAGAGAGAGAGAGAGAGAGAGAGAGAGAGAGAGAGAGAGAGAGAGAGAGAGAGAGAGAGAGAGAGAGAGAGAGAGAGAGAGAGAGAGAGAGAGAGAGAGAGAGAGAGAGAGAGAGAGAGAGAGAGAGAGAGAGGAGAGAGAGAGAGAGAGAGAGAGAGAGAGAGAGAGAGAGAGAGAGAGAGAAAGAAGAGAGAGAGAGAGAGAGAGAGAGAGAAGAGAGAGAGAGAGAGAGAGAGAGAGAGAGAGAGAGAGAGAAGAGAGAGAGAGAGAGAGAGAGAGAGAGAGAGAGAGAGAGAGAGAGAGAGAGAGAGGAGAGAGAGAGAGAGAGAGAGAGAGAGAGAGAGAGAGAGAGAGAGAGAGAGAGAGAGAGAGAGAGAGAGAGAGAGAGAGAGAGAGAGAGAGAGAGAAGAGAGAGAGAGAGAGAGAGAGAGAGAGGAGAGAGAGAGAGAGGAGAGAGAGAGAGAGAGAGAGAGAGAGAGAGGAAGAGAGAGAGGAGAGAGAGAGAGAGAGAGAGAGAGAGAGAGAGAGAGAGAGAGAGAGAGAGAGGAGAGAGAGGAGATAGAGAGAAAGAGAGAGAGAGAAAGGAGAAGAAGAGAGAGGGAGAGAGAGAAGAGAAGAGAGAGAGGTGGAGCAGGAATTTGCCACCAAACCCTCGCGGACCGTCTTTTTTAGCCATGTGTCGTAAAATTGGCTGCCGATCTTTTTGGCGGTGATGTCATCCCGGGGACAGGTGTGACCTCCGGCGGCAGGGGTAGAGGCGACGGGGTCAGCCCCGGTCCAGCGGGCGGCCGGCAGGAAGAGTCGAGTTTTGTTCAGCTTTCGCCCGGTCCGGCGTGGGGATAGGCGGTCTGGCGCCATTCCCGGGGGAAGTGAGGTAGTCAACGCGGCGGGCCAACTCGGACACGCGCTGATCGACTGATGTGCAGGGGATGCTGGTGGCACTACAAAAACCTGCGAAGTGTCTGCACAATGCGGTCCTTCACGTATGGAGTGGGAACAGAAAGCAACACACGACATTATCCACCTTTCTAGCTATAAAACCAACCTTTAACATACAAACATGCTAACATGCATGCATGCATGCTAGCAAGATTATAGAGCTTCTTGCACACCTCGGGCAACCTCATTGAAAAAGACAGATCCTATTGCGTTACTTGTGAACCGGTGCTGGAGCAGTTTTCAATCTTCAAGAAGTGGATAATTTGTTTCAGACTGCAAGGATCGAAGTATGCATTAGCAATCCAACGGTGACCAAACTCTGGTCAGGCAGGAGTATCAGTACGGTCAGCTTCTTTAAGTTGGGGCTGCAATTCTTCGCGAATGAAAGTATCTGAGACGCCTTAGATATTATTGATGGGTTATTTGACAAAGTTATGCACAAATAGCAAAGCCGTTGTTTAAACTCATTCTGTCCCGTGTGACAGAATGACTAAGGAAAATATGGAAGCGCGCAGAAAGGAGATATTGAAGCTGAGGTTTTGTGGCTGGCACAAGCCGCCTACCCGCAATATGGCATCATTCTACATTTATAGCGGCCTGCGCAGCCGATGAGCAAGTGAAACAATGCGTGTGATTGCGTCCTCCCCTGGCTACCACGGATACGCACCGGTGTATATCTGGCGCAATGCGCACTAATTGGCATGGTCGCTAATGACACATGATTGTCAGCGGTCTTGGTGGCCTCCAGGGAATGTCCTGCCACATACTCATTATCATCGACATTATCATTTACATCATCATCATCATCATCGACAGGTGCGTCAACCAGGACCGGAAAGACTGTATGCTGGTGAGCGAGGCATCTGGAAAGATGGAAAGATTAGCGTTAGGCGTCACTGCGGCAGTGATTTTATATACGAAGTGGGATAGCTTGGTCGTGCATCATCACAGACTTCCTTTCTCTTTCAAGCCTCACCATCTCCACAGTTTAACATGGCCATGCCCAGCTCAGTCGAATGAAGACGAAATCGGACCGAAGCTCGGGCATCAAATAGAAAGATGTGAAGAATCACGCTTCTGCTCTTCTGCTGCTACCACTGCCGGGAGCAGGCCGAGGCTGGTATGAGCCGGTTACGACAGGTGAGGCAGCACCTCACCACGGATGTTCTTGCAAATATTGACGCGCATCACTCCCTGGCACATGTGGCTCGTAGAACAACAACTCACAAGCTGTGTAAGCATCAGAGCCGACAGTGTTCTGGCATGTTGACAAGGACGCAGAAGCCGTTGCGTTCAATATCGTTCAGATCCGTGCATGCGGCCGCGCGTCGACAGCCAAATGACATCACTTCTTCCGTCCGTCTTCGGCACGTGATCCAGGTATTGCATTAAGCATGCAAACGAGCGCAGTCCGTAAAAGTCGCTGGGCTCAGTGAAGGTCATGAGCCGTGATCCATCAGAGGGCGGGTGCAATAGAATGCATTATGACTTCAAAGTTTCACTGTTACCAGGTGAAACTTTTGGAGCCGGCGTCCATTTCTAACGTTCAAAGGTCCCCGTACAATAGCGCTAATGACAAGGTTAACAGTTCACTGCGATTCAGTGGAGGTGCAGCGGCACGTGGCTGTATTTAATGTGGCTGAAATATGCATAAAAAGTGTTGCGCATAATTCCAAATCATACGGGCGTCCTATCACTTACGCTTTTACGAGAGTACTTAAACACTTACGTATTATTCGAAATAAAGGACTGGATAGGCCTAACAAGATGCTTCAGAAGTTTCTTCTAAACGGCAGAGCAGAGCACATGCAATCACAACGGCATGCAATCACATCCCGTGGTGGTTTTCTCAGAAGGCAAGCGAAACGCTGGCCCCACTTCCCCGCACTAGCCCAACCGCGCGTTCAAAGAGACACGCTGCTCACTAAAGGCCCGCTCGATATTTGAATAGACGCTCATATCGCCACGGGCTGTTGCGCCCCAAAATAGGCCGCCCCATAACTCGTGCTGACCAGATGAGCCGGCGGGGCCATTGGGACCGCTGCCCTGGAGCGACGCGACTCTCATAACCTGGCCAGGCAGCTCAGGAAACAGGAACGCGGCGGCGCGTGTCAGAGGGTTACGGGCGACGCACGCCGCCGGCCGGGAACCCGTGCATACATGCATGCCAGACAGGCGCCTGGAGCCCCAAACAAAATGCCAGGATCCGATCTCAGGATCCCATTGACATGGAGCCGTACGGGGCTTTGGATCCACCCCTGGGATTCAGACGCATATTGGATGCATGTCACATGCCGGAGGTCCACGTTGGCTACGCTGTAGGACGTTCGGTGGAGAAATTAGGTCGTGCCCGCTCTTCTCCCGTAAACAACGCATGCTTGCGGCACGGTTTCAGGTGGCTGAAACTGAGATGACTAAGCCAGCCCGCCACCTGGTAGGGTGAGCGGAGCCTAGGGCATTGCAGGCATCCCAATCGAACGTCGCGGGCGAGTCCGGCACATGGCTGCATGTGGCCAAGATCGCAACCAGGAACTTCGTGCGAGAATCTCTGGGTTCGCAGTGTTCCATCTGCTGCACGCGCTTTAAAGGGATTGTTCCACATTTGTATGGGGCTTTGAATTGAAAAAGCCATCTTGAAGATCGTTCGGTGCAGTTCACAGCCCGGCCCATTTCAAGACCTATAACCTACCTTCCTACCAACCTACCTAATGCCTATAACCCACCTATAATCTATCTTCTAAGCTGCACGCCCGCGAAGATGTGCAGACTATTTCTACAAGGACTTTTTTTAAGGTCATCCAGGCATCCGCAACGCCATAATGACGCTATCAAAGTCCCGCCATTCCATTAGCCATGAGGCGAATCAAGGCCAAAAGATATAGTTGCCGAATTGTTCATGCCAGGCATTCGTGAGCACCATTTTCAGATGCAACGGCCGTCAATTGGCTTTCAGTCGATGTTGTGCGAGCTTCGATAAGGTAATCAAACTATGCCGAATAGAGGAGCCTATTTGTTAAAAAGTGATATTGTGTTGTCTGTATCAGTCTTCTACTTAAACGCATACGAATAGCTATATGTAAACTTGCTTCATCACGTTTGATGCTTGCTTCAATATCTTCACATGAAGAACGTTTCCTTCAATTTTCGCGATCTGCAAGCAGCAACAGCAGAGCAGCCTCGGCGACACGCCTAATCGACCCTGCTTCACACCGCGTCCCCCGACACTCCCCCCCCCCCCCCCCGTCCGCTTACTCTGCGTCCTCCGCGCCCTCCCCGTCCACTTACTCTGCGCGAAGCCGTTGAACTTGCACCAGAAGCTGCCGAGCGGGTAGTCGCGGTTGCGGGAGATGTCCTGCACCAGGTGCACCCACATGCAGAGCACCAGGATGCTGATGTCGGCCACGGCGAGGTTGACCAGGTAAGCGTTGATCGCTGATCGCATGCGTCGTGTGGTGGCCACGATGACGATGACGCCGACGTTGCCGACGAGAGAGCCTAAGAAGACGACGGCGTAGAAGAAGATCTGCGGGCGCGGAGTGAGGCGTGAGGAACACGACTTGTAGAGGCGGAATCCGCCGAGCAGAGCACGAACTGCGGTCACGGAGCACACCGTGAAAAATATACTCCCAGACGGGGAACCGGCCGAGGAACACAGTCAGTGAAAGCGAAACGCGTGCCGTGGAACGCAACTCGCATGCGCAGAAAGCACCAATCAGGACGGGAGTTTACGGATATAGAGCACATGGCATGGAGCGCAGGATGCATGTGTGTTTAGATACATACTAGGTCTTTGGGCTTGTCTTTATTACGAAATAGAAGCACAAATTGATCAGGTAACACGATGCACAAAGTGATGAGGTGCGTTTTTTCACCGGATGACAAAAAATATAAGAACTGACACGCTATTTCCGATCCCGAGCACGCCATTGACGTGGGGTGAAAATTTGGGTTCAAATAGAGACGAAATCTTTCAGACAATCAAGTTTTAATCGAGACATTACTGGTTAAAATCGGCTCCAAAGATCTATGGACTTCAGGGAAAAGGAGAGGAGTGGGTGGAGATGGGGAGGGGTAGGCCGTCTTCAGCGACCACAGAATACCTGTTTTTCTCCCTGGTGAACTCCCAATTGTCCGCGTACATCAGCCAAGCCACATCAGCTCTTTTCATGCTGACATTATAACGCGCCTGGGTGATCGGCTGAATACGACACGCCTAGTTGGGAGGAGAGTCAATGTGCTCCCCCTACGCATCAACAACAAAGAGAGGCAGACAAAATTCACAGGGTATGCAGGGCTCTATATGAAATCTTAAGCGTCAAGTCTTGGGTCTCCGGGCAGCAACATTTCCGCCTTGTGATGAAGAAATTCGACATGAGCGTCACAAGCCATCAACCAGGTAAGCTTGTTAGTGAAAATAGTTGGTTTCGATCTTGCGATTCGTGTGAAAATCCCGCTTGTTTTGAGTTGACCTGATATTCACTTCACCATCACACTTGTCCTTGTCTTCATGCTTGTTCTGATATGCCCTTTATACATTACCCAATTAGTTGTGGTCACGATTGAAATGTCTTCTTGTCCAAGAAACCATTTCAGAACTATATAAGCTCGTCTAACACTTCGTAGTCGCATCAGCTTGAAAGTTTCTCTAAGACGCTCCTTTGATGACAACCATGGCCTACACTTTACCGCTACAGGTCGATGATCTTGAAAGGTATACCTGTTTTTATACCAAAAGGGCAGTTGTTGAATCGTCAACAAGAAGACAAAGATTGGCGCCCCGACTCTGCACAGTATGGAGGCTATTCGGGAAAAACTTAGGACATATTTCCGATTCCCACTCGAACGCGTATTGTTATGCAGGATCCTAATCTGGTGCTAAATCTGGCATGCCAGAAAAGTGGAGTAAATAGGAGCGAAGCCCACAGAATATTAGATCTCTAATAAAACAGCCGGGAGATTTTACTACGGAAACATTTCGTTTTCCACCAACGTGTACGTATTCGTCACTGCCTTTGCGGTTCATCATAATTTATCCCACTGATTTCATTTTGCAAGACGCCTAAGTTCCAAATGGTCAAAAAATGCCTTTGCACGTTTCAGTCAAACATTAAGCGCCAATGCATGCCATGCATTTTGCAACAATTCGTACAATTTTATTCTTGTGTTTGGAAATCCATTTTGGACTAAGGCGGACACAATCATTACAGTGGTGCATGCATTACGCTAAGCTATTGGCAACGGGAATTCTAAGCAGAAGAGCATCCCGAATGTCTTTCAAGGGAGTGTTCCTGCCTTTTGGGGAACATTTCAAAAAAATCCAGTGAAACCTCAGTACCAGTTACGTCAATGATAGCACTGGGTAGTGCCACTATAGCACCGTCAAGACATAACGAATATATCTTTTAGACGAAATGCTGTTAGCGCTTCATGGGCGTAGGAACAGGGAGGGGGGGGGGGGGCCATGACCCCCCACTTTTCAAGGAGGGCAGCAGTGTTAACTGCCTCCCCAATTTTCAGATTAAGATTGCGTTTAGCTTTCTTTTGCACTACATTTAACATACATGCCGATTTGCTTAGTTCACCAGCCATCATCCTCAACATGCGTCACCTTTTCCGTTTGCTTATTGGCCAGCGCTTTATATCACGGTCACAGGCCGAGGTCGCGCGGCCCATGGAGACTGCAACGCCGGGCGTCGAGGCCGTTGTTGTTATGACTCGCGAGTGCGCATGCTCAAAACCATATTACATGTTTTTTTTATCAGTAATCAATTCTGACTGAATCTTGAATATCTTAAGACGAACATGGATTAGGCATGTTAATGCAAATTTGGGACCCCATTCTATCTGCAATCTACGTTCAGAGAGGATTCAATATATCTGAAGAACACATAAAAAAACATAAAACGGTAGTCTATGCGACAATTATTTGATCATCTGCGACAATCAGGCATGTTGTTGCGTCAATGAGGGTTGCTGTGCTGATGCGAGGCCAACTGTGCGGGTCAGAAGGCCTCCCGTGTCAGGGAGGGCAACAAAGTAAATATGATATATCCTTCTCATGGCCTCCTCATCGACCAGAAGATCCCACCCCGTGTCGCTAGAATGACAGCCAGAAGACAGTTCGCGATGGGACGGAGTGGTCCTTCAGCCCTTGACCGGAACTGGTAATCCGCCCATTGCGTTTTACTTAAAGCCCCTTGCGTTCCCTTGGCCGGAAGGACAAAGAGGTCTCATTATTGGTGAGTAGAGTTCTCATTTTTGTTGAAAAGAGTGGGTCGAAATGAATTTTTAAAAAAAACCAACAAGGTCATCACATGTTTGCTTGGGAATGTTCATTCTTCAGAATGGATTGGTGAAAAAATAACATTAAAAGGTTTAAACATTCCCGCCCGCAGCCTCGAGAGCAAGGGCAGCGATGGCTTGAACTGCAGCTTCCGCAAAACCAAACGGCGTCGGGCCACTGCGAGTGCCACCAGACTGGCAGCGCCGTGTTAATCTGTCTTTTGGACAGCTTAATAGTTGCAGAAACACGAAAAATAGAGATTTTGCCCTAACTCTTCCAGTTCCACCACCAGATTCCAGCACCACTCTGCGGTGCTTTATGGGCCAATCCGTTGTTATCATCGGTCTAAAAATCGCACACATGAAATATGCGCCCAGACTGCCTGTAAATGTAGGATTTGATGTTCTGAAGCGTTCAAACGTGCTTCTTTCATACTCATCTGCACACTGGCCACGACTCAACATAAACTGCTGGACCGACGCTGCGCGGCCTGCGGAGACTGCAACGCCTGGCATCGAGGCATTTGTTACCAAGACTTGCGAGTGCGCATGCTCAAAATTACATCACACAACTTGTCCTACTAATCGATTTAAGTGTTTAAAGGTTTTCGTTTCAGAGGCGTCATCATTTTCGTCCACCGGTAGGCCACGGCGAAAAGTCGTCCGCTGGACTAACGCTCCGCGGACTATGGAGACTGTAACGCCTGGTGTCGAGGTTTTTGGTGCGAAGATTTGCGAGCGCGCATGTTAAATATTACGTTACATAAATTGCATCACTAATCGATTCTGACTGGATGTCAAACACGTCCAGACAAACACTGCTTGGCCGTGTTAAAACACATCGTTGACCACTCAACCTACAACCAAATTTGTATCCTCAAATTTTGATAAAACATATCTAGCTATAATTAGCCTTTGCGGTGTCCTTAATGTCTGTAAAATCCAGATATAACATTCTGACAAAGCTTCTGAAGTCTGTCGGCTTATAAAGAGCCCACTAAACCATTGTAAATTAACGGTACCAGTGATTTATTTCATGTGGCCGTTCAACGCCTGATTTCTGCAGTTTATTGACCTTAAAGATACAAACAATTGATCTCACGGCAGCCTCCCGTTTCTGCTTTGGTTGCAAGGTAAAAATAACAATGAAACGAAAAAAGTCTTGTGCTCCCGTTAGCAAGGCTTTGGTTGCGCCCCTGCCTACACACAGAAGCAGATCAAGTCCTCTACATTGACGGATGGGCAATTAAATGTCTCTTGGGCCAGTGCATACCTAAGGCAGGCAGCTGCCCAGAGATTTCTTATAAGGAAACTAGTTCGGAAAAAGATACTGTTGCAGGTGTCTAACGTGTTTTACACACCAATTAGTAACAATGCTGATTCAGAAATGTGCAACAAAACAGCCATATGATCAGTTCGCAATCAGTCATGTGGGAGACAGCCGAGCCTGGGCAGTGGTCGCCGACGGCGGACGAGAGCTGGGCTAACATAAGGAATATATGGCAGAAGAGCCTTCATTCTATGGCTCGGTTGTTAAAGGAGGATCTCCAGTTTTGTGGCTTTTGTGACAGTGTTTTGGCTGTGTCAAGCTTCCAAATTTGTTTCCGCCTAAAATGCTGCGACGAGCCTCATCTCTTGAAAAGCAGCCAGCGAAATGAAGACGTATGAAAAGTCTGTCGCACTGTGAGCCATTGACTCACGTTCAAAATTCTCACCAGCCTATGTCCAGGCCGTATTTTGGCATCTACCTTGTGAAGGCAGATGCCTCCTCAATGACCTAAAATGCCTAACCGCTTGTGGAATTTCGCGTCCCTAGGGAAGACAATGTTGAAATAAACGAATAAACCTGGGAATCTGGATAGCCTTATCTGACGAAGGACATAAATGGGTCGAATAGGCAAGATTGTGCACCAGTGAGAAACAGCTCTGGATGCATGTCTAGCATAGCAGCATCACATCGGAATGAAGAGCGATAACAACCGCCATCTCTAGCCCCCCCCCCCCCCCCCCGGTCATCGGGCTCGCTTTCCAGACAAAATCCTGAAGCACGCCCTGAGCTTGGCCCCACTTTTTGAAACGTTCTTACGCCTATCCAGCGCTTGACACATCACTGCACCTTTTCTCTGTTGTTGTCGCGACCACCACCATCATGATAACCGCTGTGGAACTCCATCTGGTACGAATAAAAAAGTTGTGATTGGCCCGGCGGGTGGCACGTGCCTGTTACCGAGAAACGCGCATTGATCGAAGTTTCAACCAGTGCCTCGCTTTGGGGCAAATGATACTACCATTCCCAAAGCCAAAGTGCGCCCCGAAAAGAGTCTCTGCGTCATCGTTAATGACATAGGGGGAAAAACCAAAGCCATCGTACAAGGTCGCGTTGAAATCGCGGGATATTAGCTTCATGTTCTTTCTTGTCTAAACAGTGTTCCGAACTTGCACAGCTCTTATTACATATACATTTTGACGCGTTATCGTGTTGCAAACATTATAGAACATACGTTGAAAAGGGCAAGGCAGATAAACTGTATTACTTTCCTAGTAATGAACAAGGTGTCAAATGAGATTTCTCCTTCAAGGCTACCTTACTCCAAATCAAAATTTTGAACTTTTTAGGATTGCGAGAAAGCGGGTATTACCGATGAAATTGTGAGCGTCATATCGCACAATATGCGAAAAGTACAAAAAGGTGTCTTAGTCCCTTTAATGACCCAGCGATAGACGCGTGAAAAACAACATCGCCAGCAAAAGTTCTGTATTAACACATCAGCAACACAGGACATGTCAGCAGCAAGAGTTCGAACCAACTCTGGGCCGTCCATGCTGTATAAAGAACCGCGTGCTGACATTTGGGGGCTGTCTGTTGGACGCTGGACAGCGACACCAAATGCATTAAACAAGAGGGCGCCGGTGCTGTCAGCATGCTGCCTGCGCCCCTGTCTCTTGACGCACTTACAACAATGCTGTGCAGGGAATAGAGTGGCTCAGTTTTGCAGAAGGCACTCATAAGCTAGGCTGTCTGTTTGGCGAAAAACTGCAACTACCCTGCAGGCATTTAAAGCACACTAGCAACAACAAGCAAGCAGCCTGGAACCGTTTCAGCTCGCCAAACCACTCGGACCCGTGATCTCCACAAGACGGCAGTCAGCACGCGCAAGAATGAGGACTTCTCACGCAGGCAACAACGCTCGTCGCATTCCACTCAGGTCGCGTGACAGTAAAACCACCTCGGAGCAATTACCCCGCTGTCGTGGAGGGTCTAGTTGATGGTGATGGGGGTCCGCCGAGTCAGCAGAAAAATCTCGGCACCGCATAGTTAGATTCCAGAGACTTTTCCAGAGAGTTCTATGACATCCGGGATTTCCTGCCGCAAGCACTACGCGCACGGTGGGCAGGTCGACGTGGTGTCTGGGTGCCAACTGGCAGCGCAAACTTCATGCTGAGTGCGGGACGGGGACGTACGTTTCGACAGCAACATTGTCGGGCTTCCCCTGGGATGTTTGCTGACATTATTTGAACTAGAAAACGCCCGCTGCCGAGGCTCGAGGGCAACCGGTGCATAGACGCTCCATCCGTATTGTTCGTGCTCGATGTTGCCATTAGACATACCGAGCAGCTTGAGAGATTGCTGACGCCTCTTGGCGTGAGATTATTGGTATCAGGATAGTACCCTTCAGCAAATGTCGCGTCACCTGACACGCCTGACACGCCAGCTGGCACACCTCACCTGACACGCCTTCCCCGCCAGTGTTTCAATGTTCAGCCACTTGAGTGCCAGGGATGTCAATATTTATCATATTTTGACACCCCGGCTTATCGTTCACTGCCTACTGCTGCACCTTGCTCTTAATCAAAATCGGCCACGCAACCAACTTGGCCCAAGCGCCCGTTGCGCAAAACCGGCCCAAATCGCATCGAACCAGGCAGTGGTCGACCCAGCATCTAGGCAGCTCAAGCTTGACAAATGGGCCGGGCAGGTCAGGTGTCTGGGTTCGGGGTCAAAGGGCAATGGATTAGCGCCAACGAATTTCGTGCGGAGGCTGCCGCAGAACCAGGATTCTGCTAACATGAATTAATGTTTACATTTTGAACATCCCTCTGTACAAATTTCGGAACGATATTTCCTTCAGGAATTTAGACAATATGTGGAGTTGCCAAGGAACGATGCTTGACAAAAATTACCATACTCATTTGGTGATATATAACCACAATAGCCAGATGACAGGGCAGTGAATGCACGGCAGGGTGGGCACAATCGATAGTGTTGCTATCCATATGAGCTTGATAACCAGTCAAAGCCTGCTCTGCCAAATCCAATGGTTTTAGTGTTCAATGCCCATAGCCAATGGTGCTATGTCCAGCAACACTAACGAAACATTCTTTATGAATGCCGAGTGGACAAATGTATTTATTGGTATTCCTGGTCACACCTATGCAACACCGTGTGAAAGCCGGCAACGCTACAAGTCCTGTGCGTTTAAAACACAGGGTCATTTCTAAAAACAGAATACCTTGGCTGGCTTCGCCATTTTTACGTCTGACCCAGATTATCATCACAGATTGCTTCGTAAAAATACATGAAAGAAAATAGTCTCTAGACACTGACTCGTACTGTAGGTTTCTGTGCTAGTTACCTATGACAAGACGCGACTTTATATCCAAGGAAAATGTCCCATCATTGGTGGTCTTTCACATCACCATAATGATCGTACGTGTAGAAAAGTGGAAAAATGTTCCGAACATATCTTTTTCTTCAGCGCTTTGCTTACACAGCTAACTTTTCCAGCCGTCGGTAGGGGATATCAGCGCTGAGAAGGGTTTGAGATCTTGGGCTGCTGGTGCACCGCTGCCACAGTGTTTGGCCGCCGGTGTAGCGCAGTCTGCATAATTGGAGCTCATCCTATTCGCAAGAGCTGAAGTTCCCGTCAGTCGCTGGAGCTGATGTCGACACCGGTCCCGCCGGCGTGGATTTAAGCTGGCGGGGATGGTGGTGAAGCCGGTGAGCCTAGAATGCTTCACTGGGAGCACAATTTAACGCGCTGCAGGTCAGGAAGATTTCTTGCATGCGTGAAACAGAATCGCACGTCCTCGACCTGTATAGTTTATTCCCAACCTCGAATTTGGACTTGTCCGCCTTGTTTGCGTACCAATTATTAAATCTAATGATGTGATCAGGGGAGCGTGACCCAAGGCCACTACCTGGGACTGCCTCTGCTTCTGGGTCTGAGGTCTGCTGTCTACAGGCCCAAATAAAGCTATGGGGCTCTCAGTATATGTGAAGTATGTGGCCACAAGACTACACACACCTATTTTGCTGTTTGACGACCATTATTGTGAGGCCTGTCTGGCCTTGCTAGGGCATCTTTGTTATTTTGCATGTTACGTGCAGATAAAACCTAACACTGAGCACCTCTGTATATTCATAAACACAAGTCCTGAGTTTTGTATTTGTTTAATAGGAAAAGTCTGTATTGATAGCCTTAATCCTCGTAGAATAACCCGGATGGTGGAGAGATAAATGTGATCATTTGGCAACATGACTTCTTGAAACGAATATTAGACTGATATTCGTTTCGATAAAGGCATGTAGCCCAAATGTCATGTCCATCTTACCATTCTCTTGGCTATTCTACGATGAATAAGACTATTAATACGGTCTTATCTTCATGCATAATGCTTCTCGAAAATGCACTTACGAACTTACGTAATTTTGTTTCGTAAGCACAAATTACAGAACGATGCCATGCTGTCAACGGCAACTATAAAACAAAAAAATATGCCGCTGCTGGAACGCAGAGATGCTTGGGTCACCGGCTGGCAAAATAGATCCCATATTTTGGACCTATAGACGACGCTGATGCTACTCAACTTTTAGGATAACGTGGGTCCAGACCACCACTCCATTCAAGCTGCTGCCCCCGAGGCGCCAGCTTTGGTCACAAACGGCTTATTTTTAGCATGTCTCCGACTGATCGATCGCTTTCTCCTTCACTTCATAGAGCCTTCGGCCAGCCGTTCCCTTGAAATGTGTGACGCGACTCATCTCCGTCTTCAGGCTGCGTGCCCTGGGGCAATAAGCTGCGCGAGACGTTTCAGGCTCTCCCAGATGCCGTTCTTGGCATGGTCGGAGCGGTGCATTTCAGCTGGAGGCACCGGCTGGTCGATGTTGGCTTCCGGCGCTCCGATGTTGAAGACTCTGTCTTGACCCTCTCCGTTTGTGTGTCGAGGACAGGCGGCATGTTGAGATTTTTTCTTAATTCTTGGTAAATATAGATAGCTAATAACTGATGTCAGTATCAAAGGAGCAGTAATCTGAAGGCATATCTGGTCCAGCGTCTGCAAGGCTAGCATTTTGACCGGCTTTAAGTCGTCTCCAGTGACTCATTGTCAGAACAGTGACTCATTGTCTACTTGGTGACATCCAGCACAAGATAGATGGACAGGGCATTGTTTTCCAGGATGGCGAGCCTTGATCAGCGTCTCAGATGCCCAGCAGCTCGGTCGAGATGGAGATGCCTAACGACAGCGGCAACGTAAGCTTCCTGAGTCAATCGAGGGTTCGTTGGGGTGTAGCTTTGTCACCTTGTTCTGCAAACTGGCATACTGAATTCGGATGGAGTGATTTAGAAACACCGCTTTTTCAAAGGGAATCACGAAGCACGTCGTCGCACATGCTTATGAGGCGCATCGGCCCTGTTGGCCATATTTACGCTCAGTGACATTGGCGCGACCGAGATCGAAACTCAGGTTTCCCCCATGGGAGTCATTACGGGATCCACCAGGCCATCACGCCCCCTCCTTGAAATACGACAGCGGAACGTGCCGGTTACGACCTTGTTTAGGTTCAAGGTAACACGCCTGTGCTCTCCGGCTGGTGTGATAAGGGCGCACCAACACGCAAATGTAGCACAGACATGTTCACAAGCAAACACTTCTGAAACATGAACATTCGACATGTTAGGAACGCCGGCGCGAGCAACATCTAGGCAAAGGTAGCACATTGGATCGGGCCAATAAACGCTGGCGTCCCACGTCAACCGCTCTATTCAACTCCATTCTTATTCCAAACCTGACTGCCTTACCTTGACGATATGTTCAGCCTGAAGCTCTGGCAACGGTGGCATGTCGTCATTAGAGAAGTTGTAGTTGCCAAACATATCGCTGGTGAAGTTCGCACACACCCCGGCTTCTTCTAAGGACGTGTTCATGTTCTGAAAGAGAGTGCATTAGCATATGTCATGAATCGTCTTGGCAGGTGATTTTATTCCACTCACATTAAATGAGATTTTGTCCATTATTCAACAGGTTGGCATTACCATCAATTTCAATCCATAACGTCACGCTGTCATTGCCCGTGCCATGAGATGGGGGATGCAGATGGAGCCCAATGAGCGAGCGATGCTGATTTCGGAGAGAGAGAGAGGAGAGAGAGAGAGAGAGAGAGAGAGAGAGAGAGAGAGAGAGAGAGAGAGAGAGAGAGAGAGAGAGAGAGAGAGAGAGAGAGAGAGAGAGAGAGAGAGAGAGAGAGAGAGAGAGAGAGAGAGAGAGAGAGAGAGAGAGAGAGAGAGAGAGAGAGAGAGAGAGAGAGAGAGAGAGAGAGAGAGAGAGAGAGAGAGAGAGAGAGAGAGAGAGAGAGAGAGAGAGAGAGAGAGAGAGAGAGAGAGAGAGAGAGAGAGAGAGAGAGAGAGAGAGAGAGAGAGAGAGAGAGAGAGAGAGAGAGAGGAGAGAGAGAGAGAGGAGAGAGAGAGAGAGAGAGAGAGAGAGAGAGAGAGAGAGAGAGAGAGAGAGAGAGAGAGAGAGAGAGAGAGAGAGAGAGAGAGAGAGAGAGAGAGAGAGAGAGAGAGAGAGAGAGAGAGAGAGAGAGATAGAGAGAGAGAGAAAGAAGAGAGAGAGAGGATAGAGAGGAGAGAGAGAGAGAAGGAGAGAGGAGAGAGAGAGAGAGAGAGAGAGAGAGAGAGAGAGAAGAGAGAAGAGAGAGAGAGAGAGAGAGAGAAGAGAGAGAGAGAGAGAGAGAGAGAGAGAGAGAGAGAAGAGAGAAGAGAGAGAGGAGAGAGAGAGAGAGAGAGAGAGAGAGAGAGAGAGAGAGAGAGAGAGGAAGGGGAAGTAGCTCTCACTAATCCGGCAGAATATGCTTTTCTTCTAGACCAAAATAAAATGACACACCTGTGCTTTTGCCTCCGCCTCCGCCCTTTCCCCTGCCTCTGCCACTCCTTGTCTCTGCCTCTGCCTCTGTCTCTGCCCCTGTCTCTGCCTCTGCCTCTACCTGTGCCTCTGTCTGTGCCTCTGCCTATTTCACCCGCGTAGGTGCCTACAGCTGCCGTTTACAGGCACACGCCACAGCCGAGCCGGTCGGCCACTGTGCTCGACCTCCCGCCCCAAGATGCTAAAACCAGCGTGCACCTGTCACCATTAATCAAACAAGTGGCGCCATCCACCCACGGCAGCCACAACAAAACGCCTGATTTGCTGGGCGCGGTGGTTTGGCCGCGGTGGGAGGAGAGAGCACCTGTCGATGCTGGGCGTGGTTGTTTTGCGGCGGTGGGAGGGGAGAGCAGCTGTCGGGCGCGATCGGAGCCGGCGTCACAGGCCGGCAGCGCCATCGTCGACATCGACGTTTCTGCCACAACACGCAGCATAAACGCCCGGTGCACTGCGGTGCGATGTGACGATGTGATGGGATGGTGTGATGATGGTCCGGGATGCACGAACACGTGCAAAGTCACGTCCAGTGCCAGTCGACGCGAGAGCATGGCGTCTTTCCCAGTGCTGCGAGCTACTCCGTTCTTGCCGGCATCCACGCACGCTCAGCTTCGAAGCGTATCCCTAGCTCCCTAGTGCGGACACAGTCATCGGAGGTCTTCCTACCGACGCTCCCCCCCCCCCCCCCCCGTCCAGCTGGCATCGTGGGGATTGACTGACACATTAGGTCTGGGCCCAGCCTCTGTATCTGGCGTAATGCCGTATTGGCAGCACCGCCACTCTGGAAACACCGCCATATCTGGCAACACCGCCATATCTGGCAACACCGCCACTCAGACACCAGTCGGCCAGTGAATCTCGGCTAACTCAATCTCGCAAATGGAGAAGCTCGGCTCGCCACCACGATCGGCACGCGCGGATTGGGGCCGAGAGCTCGCTCTGACACCGCGGCGACGTCCCGTGCCATACAGCGACGACCCCTGTCGGCGAATCGCGAGGCACGCGCGCTGCTGTCGCGACGCGTCACGCCATGTCACGACGGGCGTCACAGTCCGGCAGAGGCGCGCCGAGCGATTGGTGAATGTGGGGCGGACTTAAGCGCTGAGTTGCTTGAGTTAGAACGGTCTTCGGAAACGTGGGATTCTCTCACAGTCTAAGAACATTTAGCGGCGCGTGAGAAATCACTTTTGCGAGGCCGGATTTGAGAATTGACCTATGTATGATAAAGGCCGCCAATGCTTATCTAGGTACAAACATGATCTTCTCATCGTGCCATTTCGCCAGGACAAACACGCCTGTTTTATAAAGGGAACGCAACGCACATCATGACGCCCCTTTTATGGATCGCCAGCGATGGCACTGGCCATACTAGCGCTTGGAAGCCATAGCGCAACCGGGAATAGAACGCGCGATCCACATGGGAATCACATGTGCCGACCACTCGGCCATAACGCCCCATAACGGCCATAACGCCCCTTCGCACACGCCTGTTTTGATCCCGTCTGTTAACATGCTCGAAAACGTCATGGTTCGAGGTCTGTACCAGGGCCGTACCGCGCCATCACAAAGTTACACGATGCATTGACGAGGGCATCAAGATGTCTGCACGGGCGAGTGTTCTGATGCTCATCTAGCGTGGAAATAACAGCATCCAAGAGATGCTTCGCCATTCCAACCGTAGAGTTTGAATGGCGGAACATTTAGTCTCATCACAGCATGTTGCGCCACCCTGAGTGAGCCGGCTCGCCATATTGAAAGGCATAACTGGTCAGTGGTGCCAGCCGCACGATGGCAGTACAAAGCTGTTGTGCTGTCTCTAGCTTGGTTGACATTAACATCGCACGTGTTTGGACAGTGACACAGGTAGCAGCTAAGTAGAAACACGACAATAAGCAGCCCATATTGCGTAAAAATTTGCCGCGTCATTCAACAAACCGATGTTAAAAGGAGTCTTCACATTAAGTTCTTGAAAGCTGCGTTTCTAGCTTCTGCACACTGAAAGGCCAGACTGCAATATGATAGGCTTCAGCGCTGCATCGTGTTTGCGCCGCTGCGCCCAAACTTACAAAAGTTGAATCGGCGCCGTGGCACCCATGCCAGCTCTCACGCCATTTATTTGCATGCGATGCTATCGCGTCAGTGAGTTTTTCTTCTTCGAAAGCTGGGGTCCCACTGCCTTCTTTAGGACACCCTTAGTTATGTAGGTTTGTTATATAGACCAATACTATGGTGCCAAGTTACAACGATGTGTGCAGGGCAGGGTTCGTGCTAGGGGCTGCAAGTCACCTCGTCTTGTTAATTCTCAATCCACCAGTGTGGAGCGGATGTTAGTTTAACTGTGACATACAACTGTATAATTGCATAATCATTTCGGAGCTTACAATTCGGCAATGAGATTGCTTGACACGGAATTGATGCAATCGTAGATGATGCAGGAATGCAAGGTGACGCGAAAGTTGTGGCAATACATACATGGGTTCTACGAGGCCCTTCAAAAAAGGAAAATAAGTCCTGGATCCGAAACGAAAAGAGATCCCTGAATCCCATGGTTCATTTGGTTGGTTCACCATGGTGGTTCATCCCATGGTTCATCCCATGGTGGCGGTTCATTGACAAAGTTCATATGATCATGTTGAATTGGCTCAAAATCCAATAACATCACAAAACAAAGCTTGCAATGATACCAAAGGTCTCAGACGATTACTCCCGAATCGTGAAATCGATCCTGGGTCCCATAAGAACAGAGATCTTGATTTAATAGGCTTGAGCCCAGAATCCGTTCAAGGTCGGGGCCGAATACGGGAGAGGATGCGATGGGAGTGAAAGAATGCATGTTTCGAGCATCAAGGTATGACAATGTATTGGTTACGTGTCATGTTATATAAAGACGAGTAGCTCTGAGATTAACTGATGCGGTTTTTTTATAGGGACATGTTCTTGCTGCAAGAGATTCGTCTGTACAACGTATTAGGAGAAAAATACGGATCCCATTGCTGATTGCATCTTTAAATGGCAAACCAGATAGGACTGGACCCTGCAAAGCTAATTTATGCAGAGCACCACCATAAAGGGCAAGCCAATTAACACAGATTAAAGGCGCAGATAATAAGGTACTATGCCAATCGTCGAACTCCATCTCCGCCGAAAGCAAGATCATTAAAATGGAAATCTTATCAGTCAGCGCCAAAGCAGGATGCTGCCGTGGTCGACAAGGCTGGCGGAAAAGCCGATGATTGATGTGCAGCGATAAACGGCGACACTATCGACAGATAGCCGCACGCGGTGGGCACTTGGCTTTGAAGCCCTTCTCCACGACCGGTCGTAAATACAAAACGATGCACCTATGCGGCGCGGCGTCACACAGCGGCAAAGGCACAAACGTGCTATCTGGGAAAAACACTGGCGAACAAGTCTGAAACGTAAAAACCAAGCACGACGCGAGGTGTGTTGAGGCGGGTGGTCACGTGCGTCGCGTAAATCTCGGTGTGATTTATTGATCTCGGGCCCGGATCTGCCCGGCGCCATTCCAACGGTGGTAGCCACATTGCGCCGAAAACGTGCCTACGTAGCTTGTTCAAGGTCGTCTGGGTCCCAAGCTCACGCCCCACCGATGCCTCAAGCATTTTCGATGTTACGAATGTCTTGCGGTCTTCCCTGGCGTGCACAGACAATGCAAATTCGAAAATGTTCATAGGTGTTCATTTTTAAGAGACATTTGCAGTGCATGTTTTTCAACCTACCCGTACTTACATGCATCAACACGAGCTTATTTCAAGGAGAGAAATGGACAATTAGTGGTTGAATTATTTGCTGCCACCCATTGCATAGAGATGTGCAGGCTGTGCAGGTGACCCTGGGTATTCAGACGCATTTACAGAAGTTTATCATAAGTTTTGCAACTGACTACCGCAGACACCTGCGTAAGATCCACGTTTTATTGTCACTGTCAACAAATTAACTTTCCCACTGTGTTTGAACAACTCATGGTACCTCAAGTGCACCTTTGGGGTTC